TAGAGACCAAAGTACAGTCTCGGCATTGATGCCAATTCACGAGCAAGCATTGGTGTATAAAGTGGGGCTTTTTGACATTTTGAATGTTTATAGCTCAGCATCGAAYTCAGAAATCTGCATTGGGGTTAGGCTCTGCAGTGAAATGAATATTGTTTTATCTTTCAGTCCACCTCTAGGTGAAGCTAGGATTTCCTAGGGGTGGACTGAACCCTGCCCATGGATTGATGCCAAATTCATGGGTTGGATGTGGTTTATAGGGGGGCTACTAGTAGACTAGGAGGGGGCTGCAAAAAATATTTCTGAGGGGGATTGCAGTCCAAAAATCTCTCTTTTTTTTTGCATTTTCCCTATTTTCTTTTGTTTTAAAAATATAAGTAATCATTGTTTATTTTGAATAGACTAATAGAGAGAATGATAATACAAATACAATATAATAAAGTAAAATATTAATAAGTCAAATAATATAAATAGGTTGAGGTTAAATGATAAAACATCAAACAACAAAAGAAAATATTATTTAAAAAAAAATTAATTTAAAAATCCACTAAACTTCCACTTAAAACTAGTAAATATTAACAAAACTTAGTAAAAATTAAAAACACTGATAAAAATCAAACTCAATAAGAAATTTAAATAAAATCCCATCAATAAAATTAAAAACATTTCAATTTCACTTAAAAACCAAACTTAATAAACAATAATAAAAATAAGAAATTTAAATACTAATAATACTAATTGATAGTTTTAACCATATTATGATTGAAATATGGGTTTGATATATTGCAAATAGAACCCATGTTCTAATGTTGTACTTTGTTTTGTTATTCATTTTTATTTTATTAGATAACTTTATATTAATATATTTTTAATTAATTAATTAATATTATTAAGATTAATAATTTTTATGAGTTGAGACCTTTATTATGCATAGTGCCCATACTACACAAGAGACTTATATAAAATAGAAGGCCTGTTAAAGTTGAAATAAAAATAAAAAGTTAATAAAATTTTAAAATGTAGAACCTATTTTATCACTAATATGAAGAAAACAAGCCAAACGAGTCTATCTAGAAACCTGTAAAGTGTGACACATGACATACAACAACAACAACAACAATTATTATTATTATTATTATTATTATTATTATTATTATTACTATTATTATTATTATATAATTTGAAACCTAATAACTATAATTAATAAAAGTTGCTAAAGTTAATACAAATATTAAAATTTAGCAAGTTCTTAACTAGCAACTATTAAAAGTTAGTATTAATTTGTACTTAGGGATGGCCATTTATAAAAATTAGTATAATTAATATTAATAGGATAATTAATAATAAGAATTATAAAATTATAAAAATAATAAAATAACAATTTATTATAAATTTATATATTTTCTCCTTTTTTGTATTTTTTCTTATTTTTGTTTTAAAATATAAAATAATAATAATTATGCCATTAACAAAGTTGTATATCATTAATATTTAAAGTTGCACACTA